GGTGCTAACATTGCTGGCGGTCTCCGGTTGCCTAATCTTGTTGCAGGTTCAGGCGATAAATTTTATCATGTGTACCGCAGTATTTCTGAGGAAACGCAAGTTATTATTGCAAGGAAGTTTAACGTCAGCCACACTTAATCGCCGACGACGTAGATGGCTTGGCATCTGTCCAACTCAAATTTGCCTCAGTGGCATCTGGATCTACTCTAGCCTTTTTTGGGGAGGCATTTTCACTTTGTCGATCGAACGACGAAACAACACTCGGCTTGGTAACCATTCCATTTCGAATGTTCCCGGAGTTGTCATTGTGTGTAAACGGTGAGGAATCCGAATATCCTTTCAGTGTAAACGCCTACGAATCCGAATACTCCAAAATTGATGAATCCGGAAACATTTACGAATCCGGAAAACTCTCCTCTAGTGTAAACCTACTCTGATATGAGTGAATTTGTCCTATCTTTGTTTAAGTGGTTTTCAAATTTAACATATCTACAAGTTGTCATAACATGTAGTCTATCTTGTTGTCAGGGACTTAGCTAAACGACTCACTGTTCCCTTGAAGCCTATGGGTAAATTTAAAGACGTATTCATCCAAGCAAGAGGTATCTTTGCATCCACCTTTCAATCTCTTAAGGAGAAAGCTTTTCCGACGCTCATGTCAGGGCCGTTTTCAAATATGACTGAGTCGGAAATGTATGGATTTGCCTGGAGAAACATGACCAAGGAGAAAGCACTGGAGATTCCTTTCTACCGGGACTTTTTGTGCCAGAGACTTGGAAGTGAAGGATGTGAACTACTGAGTGCCAGATACGCTATAAAGAGAGATTTCTATGAAGAAAGTACTTTGTGCAGATTGGAAAAACGACAAGTATTTAAGTACTTTTCGTATGAATACTACAGACCTCTTGGTGGCATGTCAGATTTCCCGACAGCAGTGAAGAAATCTGCACTGCGTTTAGGAGTAAAGGTGTTCTTAAAAGAGAAAGTAAACGTTCTAGAAAGAAAAGGAAAGGGTTTTGCAATTCACACCGATCATTTTTCAGCGTTGGCAAAAAAGCTTATTATTGCTATTCCAAGTGGAGCATTTGAAGCCATCATGGGTGATATTGCTGCCGAGGTTAAAGAGAATGTAATGTTTGAATCCAATATAGGAAAAAACGTGTTTAAAGCGGTGGCCATTTATGGGTATCCTTGGTGGGAAAACTTTACTTCCTCTCAGAACAGCAGCGAGCCAATCGTTGAACGATTGTGGTCAGCTTCTACATGTTTGGTTGGTCTGATGCCCTATGGGTAAGTTGAACAGGAATTTCTTTGCAACTCGTTACTTCTGCGAATTGCTCTCGTGATAGTTATGGTATTTACAGGCGATTTTTCCATCGTCAGTCATGATATTCTTAAGAGTTCCCTGATCAGTTTTTTTCGTAGTCAAGGCAATAATTGCTTTTCATTTCAACCTGAATCGAGCGCAGACCCAAGGGGCCTTTGATTCAGGTTTTTATTAGCGATTTTCCTAATCATGATGAGAGTCTCTTGCAGCCTCGATGTATATCAACGGCTACTTCTTCAACTGTCCTCAGCCACTTTGTTCTTTTTCCGCTCTCTGTTTTGGAAGAATGGTAAAGGGAGACCTAACTAAAACTACGGTTAGAGAAAAAGTGGCTGATATTACCTCGTCGCACCTCATTGAAAGATCTGATGTAAAACATTTTAAAAACATAAATTACCAAACACAAAACAAGAGTCTGCCTAATTCAGGTTTTGGAACGCCAAAGAAAAGAGTTTCGTGCGTCCGCTTAACAATGGTTCCACTGAACATTGTCGGTGCACCGTTCAAGTGTAGAGGGGGAACGGTATCTGGGCGTCACTCGGTGTCTGTTTAGTAAAGTAAAGGTGTTGCTGTATCCATGTTGTTTTTTCGCTATTGATACACAATGTATTTTTAAAAAAATCCTGAAGACACCTCATGTTTTGCGTGACGATGCAGTCATTCTTCGCAGCTGACATTGCTCGCTGATTCATCCTAATCATTTTGAAGGAAAAGCAAAATTATCCCTACTATTGTTTCAAAAATTATTCAACGACATTTTGAACGTAGAGCACAGTAACAGGATTGTAATAACAAGCTATAATTACGACAAGAGATTGATGCTTAATTGTCTCTAACGACTGCAATTGTCTTGATGAAGTATAGGTACCAACCCAACATTTTCCCCTGGGAGGGTAGCTGTTATTATCATTGTAATTGTAGAAAATCTCTTTGCTTTTAAAATTTAAAATTAAATTTTTCCTCTACCCCCTTTGTATTCTTTTTGTCTCACTCTCGGCACGTGTGATTTCAAAAACTAGCCAATCAAATCAAAGAACTCTAACCTTGGCATTAAAAACACACGTGGACGCAAACTTTTGTCGTTTTGACTTTTTGTTCGCGAAAATTTTTTCGGAATTTTAGAGAGTTTCGGAGGGTTCTTTTTAGCTAAATGTTGTGGTTACTTTATTCTTAACAAGTTCAATATATGAATAAGAAAGCGATCCCCGCAGCTACGAACACTTCTTATGCAGTAGTGACAATGAGGCCATGACCTATGCGATACCGGTGGAGTACTCTACCTGGTTCGTATGAAAACCGTGAAGGGATGAATTAATGACTGTATATATATGACGTTCATATACGTGAACTGTGATTCAGTTGATGGAGCAGTTTACATATATGGGAGGTAGTTTACATATATGAACTTCTGTTTACAGTTTTCTACGGAGTCTGGACTCCAGCCTCTTTTTCTGTAAATGGATTTTTTACAATTTTGACTGTCAGCGTGAGTCTCATGGAAAATAATAGCGTCATGTCCAGCTGCTTGAGAATCTGTGCAGAGCTTTTATTTTATTAGTGACCAAGACAGAATTTCACCTCACAATATCGCTACAATAATAGTAGACAAGTGATGGGAATAAAGAAGAATATCAAGTAGAGGGTTATATAATAGCTTGATCCAGAGCCAAATTGTTCAAACTAACAATATAATAATTTTATTCTCCAACTGCACTCCGTAGAGTACAAATAACGCCTTAGACGAGTACAAATATCACGCGGTATTTTTACTCCAGAGAACCGGCTAGACAGGTTTTCTCGTATCGCACAAGGGAAGAATTGGATTGAAGTTACGAAAAAAAAAATGGCGGGCAATTTGAATCATATTTCTGACGACGGAGAGTCGGAATGGCTGGCAAATATAGATCCAAGTTTATTAGATGACTCGAACGAAGAA